ATGGTTGTGAGACAGCTGATTCTAAAGCTTCCACAGAGTGGGGTGGAGAGAAATGGTGTGACATAGCAGGAAGAACAGCACCCAAGAACCCCAAATCTGTGCTGTAAATAGTTTCTTTCTTCCATCCCCCACATCAAGGCAAAACATACAAGATCTTTTTTAATGGAAAGGAATTTTAATACAATTAGTGTGCTATGTAGACAAGACAAAGAATATAGTTTCCAAATCTAACACCCAAAATTACCCAAAATCCCCTCAGGGGTTAAAAGCCCAGCCAAACAGGACTGACCCAAGACAAAGCCCGAAAGCCTGCCACAAATCTAAAGCACCTTCTGATGGGGACCCAGAGGGAAAAAGTCAGAAACAGCCAGACAAGCCTGGGAGGAAAAGAACAAAATGAAAATCATGATAAAAGCTGCCATTGTTAACATCCCCATGGGTCTCTCACCCACATCTGTTCCAACCAGTCCAGGACCAAGAAGCAAGTGTAGCTTCTACACGTCTCCCCACTCTACCTCCTCCAAGTCTCCTTGCACTCCATCCTGCTTCCTCCCTACACCAGTCTCTTCTCCAGCTTCTTCTCCCTCCTCACTCAACCTTTGCGTGGGGCAGGGGATGTCATTCTAGTGCTGGGCCCTTGGGTTCACTCTGGGGAGGGTTTCACCAATGACACACAGCAAGTTCCCAAGCGAGTTTCTTAATGAGACAGAGACATTAACTATATTTAAAGAGCAGGTTTATTAGGGAAAAGGACAGAGGAGGAAAAGCAGTTTTATTAGGGAAAAATACTCTTGCATAAACACAAGTGGGCAGGAAGAGATGCCACCAATGGGATAGGTTTGCTGAGAGAGGCTTGCATGGTTGCAAGCTGGCAGTTTTAAAAGAGCTGCCTCCTTTGGTGATGGGAAACCCAAGGGGATTGCAACTGAGATGGAAAAATGCACCAAAATACGTAAAAATAAATGTATATAAAAAAGAGCTGCCTCCACTGAGGGAGATCAGTGAAGAGAACCCCCAGCATGGTCACAAGCAAGCAGAAGGCTGCTGCCCTGCAAACGGAGAGAGAGAGTGGAAAGAAGCACCTGCTTAGTCACGGGTGGTCAGGACAGCTGCCACGAGCCAGTGCAGAGACTGCCCTGTATAGTTCTTTTCTCTGTGGGAGGGGCTCAGTCCTTTGAGGAGTGACCTGTTTGATTTTTGGATAACAGTGTGAAATCCTAAAGGGACCAGAGATTTCACGACTGGCCCAATCTCTGTTTCTGTATCCTCAGATCGTGCTTTCGACACTCCCTACAGCAGCCTGACACAGGAGTCTGATCCTGCTTGGGCCTCATGCCTTGTGATAAGGCACTAAGGGTCTTGATTTCTATGACTGGGTTAATGGTCAGGCTTCTACCCTCATCTCCTTGTGAGTCAGGTTTTAACCTTGTGATGTCTCCAGGTTTTCTATTCTTTTCCTCCATCATAGGGAAGCTGGAACCTTCCCTTTTCCTGGGCACCACTATGTTAGGGCAGTTAAAATGCATTAAATCTCAGTTTTTACTGAAATTCCCAGCAATATGACACATGTTTCCTTTTCTACTTATCCTCACCCATATTTGTCATCTGTATTGTATATGATATTTCATGTGGTTTTGATTTCCATTTCCCTGACGTTGAGTGATATTGAGTACCTACTCATATTCATTGGAATCATGTGTATTCAGGTCATGTGCCCACTTTTTAACCAATTTTTTGTTTGAATTTTCCTATTGCATGGTGAGTTCATTATATATTTTGGATATTACCCCTAGCAGATAAATGACTTATAAATATTTTCTACCATTCAGTAGGTTGCCTTTTTACTTTGCTGATGCTTTCCTTTGCTGTGTACAAACTTTTTAATTTGACATAGCCCTATTTGTTGGGTTTGGGTTTCATTTTTGTTTTTGTATCCTCTTGCACTCTCTTATATACTTCAGTGTTTGGGTCATTTATTAAAAGAAGAGTATGCTCATTTCTAATTCATTATGAATAAATTGCTCAGTCATCAGAAAATTTCAAATTATTAACTATTTAAAACAGAAACACATCTGAGAAAACCTGGATTAAAAGTAAAAATACAAAGTGCACAAAAGTATGTGTGTCATCCTTTTGAAAAAAAAAAAATGGAGGCTATATGCCACTTGCTCTTTCACCTGTGTTACATAGTTTGTCCTCATGAAGAGAAAACATGTTTCAATTGTGTAACTAGTTTTACCTACATGTTGTTACTGATCAGCAGTTTCCCTCAGCCATAAAAGGAAATACAGTTTGAGAAAAAGGAAAGTGGTTTAATTTGTCAGCAAATGAGGAGGACAGTCTGAAAGATTACTGTCCACTCCTTGGCAGCTACAGGACTATTTATACAAAACTAAACAACAACAACAAAAAAAGGAGATAGGGAGATGGGCAAGGGTCTGCAAAGAGGAAGAAGCAGAGTTCAGTACAGCAAATGGAGAGGGGTACAGGGGGGTCAGCGGATGGAGCAGGCTTTTTATTATTTTTTTTAAGATTTATTTATTTTGTGCATACAGAACTGGGGTGCAGGCCAGAGACTCAGGGGCGGTGAGAGGCTTCACCAGAGACAGAGTGGGGAACAGAACAGGCAGATCGACGAAGTACACTGCTGAGAGGAGCGGTGGGCGGGCCAGGAGAGGTCTGCCCCCCATGTTGTCACCTCCGGGGCAGGTGGGAACCGAACTCAGGCTGAAGTGCTTTAGATTCTCAGTGCAGTGCTTTAACCCGCTGCACCACCTGGAGGGCCAGGAGTAGGCTTTTAAAGGGAAACAAAGGGGGGATAGGCAAGGGTAAAGGGGAAGATGAAGGGTCATCAGTTGAAGCAGTCTTATATCTGAGAGACTATTCACTTGTAACTGTATCAATGTTGCTGCATATTCCTATCTAAACCTAGGTAGAAAATTAAGGGAATACATGGAACGTTTTCAGTATGTAAAATAATGAACAATTACAAATAATTCTGTAATTAGAAGTGTTACAGGTCAGGGAGAGGGGCACCCAGAACTCCCAAACCTGCCCATCCTAAATAGGGTTTACCACTCACCACATTATGACAAAACATATTCTAGTGTACAAGACCATCAATGGAAAGGAACTTTAATGCAATTGGTTTGCAAGAAAGAAATGAAGAAGAACAAATTTCCCCAATAAAGCATCCAAAGTTACCACCCCCTTTTGGGTAAATGCCCAGCCAAACAGGGTTGGCCCAAAGCAAGGCCACTGAGGCCCAAAAGCATGCCACAAATCTAAGGCACCTCCTAGTGGGGACCCATAGGAAAAGGGCAAAAGGGACCCAGCATGTCTGGGACAAAAAGAAGCAAAGTCAAGGTAAAAGCTGCCATTGTTAATCTCCCGCCCAGGTCTCTCATCAACATCTGTTCCAACTAGTCCAGGACCAAGAAACAAGTATAGCATTTTCACATGTCTCTGTTCTATGTGCTGCTTTCAGGTCTTTTTCTGACTCCAAACTCCCTCCTTCCTTATCCAATCTCTTCTTCAGCTTCTTTTCTTCCCTGCTCAGTTCCATCCTCTCTCGGTTAGGACAGGAACCTGAAACTTTCCCTTTCCCTGGTGACCACTCTGTTACAGAAACACTAGGATGAATAAATTATATATTACAAAAAGTTTTTTCAGGTTCTCTGAGTTTTGTGTTACTGTAGAATCTTTGGTGAAGCCTAATTGAAAATTTCTGGAGCTGACACCTGATCTTACTTGCAAACATTAGGATTAAATCAGCCCAAATAGGCAGGTATTGCACATAAAGGAAACACTAATAAAATGTGTTCTTGCTTTACTAATCTCAGGCAAATAAATCTTGTGCTCCATGATGTCGATTTGGGAGAAGCATTGGGTCCAGAAAAGAGGGTCATGGGGTTGCCTCTGAGAACAACTTTACCAGAGCTCTTCTTTCATGGCACATGACAAGTTTCTCCACAAAGCAGAGACATTTAGTTTTATCCAAAAGGGTAGGTTTATTACATTTAAAAAAAAAAGGAAAAGGAAAGAAAAGGATGCTTGCATAGATACAAATGGGCAGAAGGAGCTGCCTCTGAGAAGGCCAGGTTTGTTAAGAAATGCCTGCATAGACACAGGTGAGGCATTTTAGAAGAGCTGCAAAAGAAAAGGCTGGTGAAAAGAAACACCTGCAAAGTCACAAGTGGGCAGTGGAGCTGCGTTTTGCCAGTATAGAAATTTCACTAGTATACTGTTCTTTTGGGGGGAGGGTTCATTCCTTTGTGGAATTGTTATCTATTGTTAAATTCATTATATATGGGTGTGACTAGGTTGATTTGTAAGGACTAGTGATTATCTACAATGGCCCTCAATCGCCATAGTCCTTCCTCTGGTCTGTGCCCCTGGATACTTTGTATAGCAGTTGACAGTTGCTATGTAGTTGATGCAATGGTATTTTCATTTCTATAGCTGATTTAACAATTATGTTAACTATTTCTACTCCCACCTCCAGGTTCTGGTCTCCTGACTGTCAAATTTTCTACTCAGCCTCCATCACTCCATATAATGAGATTTCAACTTGCAGTGCCATTCTTTCATCAGCCACGGTACTGAGGTGGCACCTGTTATTTACAACACCCATGAAAGCCTGCTAATATTCCAGGCTCTGATCACGCAGAGGAAAACACAAGTCTGTTCCTACATTTCTAACTTTAATGTGAAACATTTTAATATGTTCTCCCTCCCAACTATCCAAAAAAGATAATTTCGCCAAGGGACCTAAGTTTAGAAAGTGTGTTTTCCGCAAAAAGAAGCGCACCCACAATCTTGAACCAGATGAGAAAACTAAGCCAGCACTGAGCGATGTCACAGGGAGAGGGCCCAAGCTTGCAACCCCGAGCGGCGCTCCACAGTGACGACTAGGCTCCGCCCCCTGCCGTCTCTATAATGGCCACGCCCCCTTGAGCGAAGTGCGCATGCTCTTCTGTGGGGCTGTGATTTTTGAGAGCGCGCAGTTGAGCCCCCGACGTTCTCTTCTTGCGAGCTCCTGAGGCCACTGACAGGCCTTGTTCTCCGGCAGTGGTGGCACCGCTGCCGCTGACCTGCCTTGGGAGTAGGGTGTCGCAGCTTCAGTCCCAGCTATAGTGTTTGGTAAACTGAAGCCCCAGAGTGCCCGGAGCTTGCAATTTCTCGCCAGTCCCGGCGAGCCCGGGCCGCGAAGGGAGCTGACGGAGGATGGCAGCCTCCGGGGTGGAGAAGAACAGCAAGAAGAAGACTGAGAAGAAACTTGCTGCTCGCGAAGAAGCTAAATTGTTGGCAGGTTTCATGGGCGTTATGAATAACATGCGGAAACAGGTACCAGCTCTGTGGGGGTGACTGATGTCAGGGAGTAGGGGTGGTCCAGGGCTCTGGCCTTATGCTGCTTGGGCGGAAACCCGCACCCAGAGGATGGAGACCCTCTTATTCCACTGTACTTCCTTCCATTTTCGCGTGCCAGCGAACCTTCTAGGAACGGAGGGTCGCATTAGACAGTTCTGAACCCAAGCGTGGCCTCGTCTGCAGATGCTGCGGCCCCTAAGTCCCACTCTCAGAGGACCCCTCAGAGGCGCTCGGCGTTGGCTGTAGCTTGTATAACAGCTTTGCCCTAGTTATCTCTTTGTAAGGCGAGGATCCCTCCACTGCGAGCTGGGTTAAGGTGTCGTGAGATCTTGTGCGAAGAAGCCTATTGGCACAATCCAACCCGAAACCCCCAAGGAAGGATTGCTGGCCTGAAATCTTAAACGAGGGTCCCCGCCTCATTTTCCTTTCCCTGGTGGAACTAGTCAGAGACTAGTTCCTGAACGTGTTATTTTAGAGCAGACGCAATCATCAGTAAGTACCGTGCGGCTTTTAAGGGCACTCTGCGCCCCTGTTATTGAGAGGAGCTCTTTGTTCTGTCTTTGATATGTGTGGCGCATTAATGAAAGTCTTTGGCCTGTCAGCAAAAGGTGGGCTAAGAAGAGATTTTAACGCGGAAGAATGTAAGAATGTAAACTGGAGAGCTTGGTTGGTTTTCTATTTTTTAATTCCATAACATACCAATAAACAAGTTACTGGGTTACTTTTTGATTCTGGAAGCTTTTTAGAAAATACTTGTCTAAAGAGATCTGTGACAATATTTTGATTTTGTTACTGGTACTATGGGACAAAAACAGGATATGAATAAGAACTGCAGAACCTAGTTTGCTTATTTAGTGGTTCCGATCAGAACGTGAACAGTATAGGAATTTGAGATTTTTATGAAAAGGTTAATTTCTGGTTTCTCTAAGCAAACTGATGCCCTGTCTTTGTCCATCAGCTCCTGGCATGATTCGTGGATGCAGTAAATAATGAGTGGAAATACCTTTAAATCTTTTCTGGCCTTTGTGCCCAAGTCCCTGTGAATGTCTGGATTCAGTATTTTATGTAACTTTAATGTATCTATTTTAATGTGGATATTCATACTCCTTTTTATGCCACCACTGACTTCAACTTACCTGCATTCAGCTACAGTCAGCTTGTAAAACAGAGTTAAACACAGTTCACTGTTTTTAAATAAGCTCAGATTTGTTTCTAACAAGTCTCTCATTTCCCCAGAGTTGTGTTTTCATCTATGGACTGTAACATTGCAAAGCTTTGCCTATTTCTTACACAGAACACACCTGAGTTGCAGCTATTTACTAGGGGAAGTGGTAGTCTGAGATAGTGTTTAGCTGTGAGGAGTAAAACATGTATTCACTTGGTAGGGCACATTTTAATAAATAAATGTTTTAAGAGTAAAAAATAAAAATGTGTTCATAGCCACTTCTTAATATTAGTTTGAGATTATATTAACATCTGTTTAAAAATAAATGAAACAGATACAATTACTAAAAAGTCAAGATTCTGTTATTGAGTTAAATAGGAGAAAATGGATGTTTGGCGAGCAACCAGGGATCTCTTCCACAATGGTTAACTGATCTTAATCTGCCACGTTTCCTTTTGTCAGTGGCTTTGCATGTTGTTCAAAGCATTTCCAAAAATACTTTTACACACATTATGAAAACCTGCATCTTTTCTAAGATGGGCAGTTTTATTTTGCAGTTGGTTTACATTATATTTTATTATTCTGTTTAGTATCAGAACACAAAAAAACTCACCAAGAATGACTGAAAAGGGCTATTGACAGAAATTGGCAGAGGAGGGCTGTTTGAGTGAGAACCAGTTTTATAAGTGTTCTTGTTCTTCAGTAAATATTTTTTATTATGACAGTTTTTGCTTTCTTATAACCTTATTTCTTTGGGATTCAAAATACAGTGTCTGGATGACAAAACCTTTCTATACACACTAAGAAGTATTCTTACAAGAATTTGAGAACATTGGAATTAGAATACCTGAATTTCTGATCCATTTTTACCCATTAACTAGTTTTGTGACCAGTCATTTCATCTCTTGCTGCTAGGTATAAGATTGCCAATTCTGCAGCATTGTAGCTAATCCTACACTGAGTAATGAAAAGGGGGTTTTACAGAGCCAGGAACCTCAGCTTCACATGGAGCTATTCAATCCTATCTAGCCTCTGGTTTTTAAATTTAATTCATGTGTAGCTCAATGGATTACAAAATAAATACACTAGCAAGAAGATAGGACATGAGAATATTGAAGTCCCCTCTTCCCTCTCTTGTGCTCTTTTCATTCCTGACTCCCTCAAAGATAACCACTATTCTAATTTCTATTGCTTAATTTGTTTTACCTGTTTTTAATCTTACATAAAATGGATCAAAGTATGTACACTTGTTTTTTGGATTCTTAAAACCCAACATCATTTGTGAGATTCACCTATGTTTTTGTGTGCAGCTCTAGTTGATCTTTATTATATGAAGTATTCCATTGTATGAATATACCACAATGTACATCCTATCATTATGGACATTTTGGTTATTTCCAGTTTTGGACTAGTTAGTAGTACTTTGACTGTTTTATACATGTCTTTTGACATGTACATGTATGGAACTCCAAGACTGGAATTATTGACTCATGGGTCATACTACATTTAGCTTTGATAGATATTGTCATTCAGTTTTCTATAGTTATACCAGTTTACTTTTGCCAACTGTGAATGAGAGTCATTTGCTCTTCATTCTTTTTAACACTTTGTATTGTCAGCCTTTATAATTTTAGCCATTTTACATGGCATCTTATTTAATTAGGTTGAGCACTTTTTCATTCATTTCCCTTTTTGTTTGTAGTTTGTTACCTGATAACATTGTAAATCCCCAGGTAGGCTTGGGCATAATCACTACTGTGTAATTATTGAGACTGTGTTAATGTAATTCAGGAGACAGGCTTGAGGAAAAGGCTTCGAGACTTTCATGAGTGTCACAAGAGTTTAAAATTTTCTCACGGTAAATGAATTGAACTTTTAAATTTCATTTATGTTTTATGTTAAAACCTTTATTTAAAGTATGTGTGAGAGCTACAAAACTAATATGAGGATTGTGTGCTGGGGAATCAGCTGTGCTGACTCTGTAAAACTGTGCTTACTACTTGGCATCTGAATACTTGCCACTCCCAGACTGTTAAGTACTACATGTCATTATTCTTAGGGTCTTGTGGATAATCTAAGCTTTCCACATTTAATCCTCAACTAGAAACACTTCTTGAGCACTTATTCTTTTTATTTTTTAAAGATTTATTTATTTATGCATGTAGAACTGGGGTACAAGCCAGAGGTGCAGGGGTGGTGAGAGAATTCGCCAGAGATAGAGCAGGGACTGAAATCCACTGCTGAAGGGAGCAGCAGGCAGGTCAGGAGAGGTCTGCCCCGCCATGTGGGTCACTTCTGGGTGGGGATCAAACTCATTGAAGTGGCATTAGCTTCTTAGTGCTGTGCTCTAACCCACTGTGCCACCAGGGAGGGCCCGAGTACTTATTCTTTTTAGCCATCCTGCAAAGTGTTCTTACATGCATTATTCTCATAATTTCCATTGATGATCTTTTCTCTTTTTGTCTATCCATCTTATGAAGTACCATCTCTTTTAGGCTTCCCAGTCTTCCCAATGCTTTATTGACTCTGTCTTTTTTTTCCATATCCATCTGCCAAAAAACATTAATTACTGCTTGTTTGCCTTCTTGGGGCAATGCTGCTGAGCACAGCTAAAGAATATTCCATTGTTGGGCAATCTTCTAGGTAAGCTTTACCATTGACTGAGCTGTCAGTACTGCTAAGCAATCCTATTTTCCATTTATTCTTACTATTTTCCTCTAACCTGAGTCCCTTCTCTGTGTCCTCACTGTCATTTCATGATCCCTTTTTTGACATCACAAATAAATGTTATTAGTTTGAAAGTATTTAACTTCTAACTTTCCATCACCAAATCTACAACCCTTTTTTTTTTATTTATGTATACAAGAACTGAGGTACAGGTGAGAGGGTGAGGAGGATTCACCAGAGACAAAGTGGGGAACAGAATAGGTGGATTGACTGAAATACATTGCTGAGGGGAGCAGTGGGTGAGGCAAGAGAGGTCTGCCACACCATGTGGGTCACCTCCCTTGCCAAGGATTGAACTCATGCTCATGCTGCAGTGGCTGCAGATGACCTCATAGTGCCACCAGGAAAGGCCCTCCACAAGCCTTTCTTGGCACTCCTTTTTTTCTCTTTCAGTTTTGCTACAAAGGAGAAGCTGTCTCTTTTTCTAAGGCCAGTGTGTCCACTTGGGTAAAATTTTACTCCTCTCAGCATAATTAATCTTGTCATAAAATTTATACTGTTGGTTATTCCATATCTGTTGAACATCTTCTGCAGGCTTATAGCCATCATTGAGCATGTTTTAACCAGCATTTTACCAACCAACAAATGAACACCAATTCTTAGTCTCAACATTCACTTGTGTATAATGCTGCTCCCCCTTATTAAAACCAAAAGGTAGTAGATTCACTACCTATCTTGGCTCACTGTTTCCCTCCCTCCATTTGACTTTCAAATTCATCCATTCAGGGTATTGGGAAGCTGTGTGTGGCATTTTGCTAGATTCTTGAGTTGCATTTTGTGAGTAAAACCCAACAGTCCCTGTCCCTGTAAAGTTATAGTAGTAAGGAGAATCACACCTTAAATATATAAAATGGCAACAGTAGTAGGAGTTACTGAGGAGACGAGCATGGTTCAAGGAGGGCATGTGGATGGGTGATTTGACCATCAGCAAGATTTTCTTAAAGATGTGGTGATTGAACTGAGGGCTGAAATAAGAGATGTTAAAACTAGGTAGTTTTTAGGAAGAACTCCTTAAGTTAGAGGGAACAAATATGCAGAGGCCTTGAGTCTAATACCTACTTCCATAGACTGGCAAATACAAGAG